GCCTCTTGCCAGAGGTCTGTCGCATGGCGTGGGTTCCAGCTCCCCCATCGCTGCCAGCTCCCTGTACTATCACCCTGCCCTGCCCCGAAGCCATGCTCTGACACCTCAGCCTCTCCCCCGCCCCCTCCCTGCGCTGCCAAATGACACACGCATGAGCTCCTAGTGGGCACTGAGGCCTAATCTTTGTTTTTCAAGCTATGTCCCACTCACCCAGCTCCCCTTTCCCCCAGATCATGGTGACAAGCCTGGTCTCGGGCCTGACACTGAGACTGTTTTCAGGATCTTCATCTTAGGGAGATGGAGGCTTCCTGGTTCGGAACACTAACAGGGCCAGGCCTCAAACATCTGTGTCCCCAGCACAGGGCCTGGGTACACTAGGTGCTAAGTATGTGTCACCTCCCCACTGGCTGGGGCTTGGACAGACCTGCAATAGCCATTGATGATCCTGCCAGACACCACTTTCCGGAAGGGCTCCCAGTGCTTGGCTTCTCCTTCCACGGGCGCACCCAACAGGACAACATCCTCGATGATCCCCTGGCAATCTGGTGGGAGAGCCGGAAAAGGCTGTTAGTGTCCCTGGCCACAGCGGGTCCTCGGAGGGACTCTCCAACAGTGGTGGGGGAGTTGGATGCCACACACACATGTGTGCACACACACATGTGCACACACACTCAGGCACATACATGTGCAAACNAGGAGATGGATGCCACACACACGTGTGCACACACACATGTGCACACACACTCAGGCACATACATGTGCAAACACATGCACTCACATATATATGGGAAAACATTTATGCATACACATGCATGCACACACACATGCACACACATGCACACAGTAATGGGGGTTTCCACATTCTGAGTCCCAGGCCCTGGGTCAAGCCCCTCGTGTGCCTGAGCTATTCCTGGGAAGCACCATCATTCCCATGTTAGAGTTAAGGACATTTTTAAGATCACACAGCTAGTAAGTGACAAAGCCTGAGGTGGGACCCAGGTCTGTTTCCACCATTCACGAAACTCACAACTGGCCATGAACTTGGATAGGACGCTTTCCTGTAGAAGGAACAGACAGGCCCTCCATCGTCGCACATGCCAGCCGGGAGACACCACAGCCTTCCTTGGCGACAGTTCCCTGGGGCAGTGTGGCAGGAAGGTGGGAGTGAAGGAGACAGGGCAGTGGGTCTCAGGGCGGCTGGGCCCCTGGACAGGGAGTACACTCATCAGCGGCACTGACTTTTTGTTCGTGGCAAAATTACGCTCAGAGACCGAGATTGTCTTTGCCAATAATTTATTTAACACAGGTTCACTGTGGGGATTATAATTTATAATAGTATTTCACAAGCCAATAGCATACAGGATCAAGTCTCTTAATAAGCCAATAAAGAAATAACATTCTCCAAAGCAATGATAGATTGATCCCACTGTTGTTCCAGGCAAAGGGGAGACGAAAGAAAAGTCCAGATTTCATTGAGTTGCAGCTTTCTATTGGCTGGCTCTCGGAAGAGTTGGTTTAGCCGGCTGCCAGCGCTCATTCAAAGTCCCTGATGCTAGAGCACGAAGCTTGGGGCCGAGGGTGAGGGGCTGGTGGGTGAGACTGTCTCCTGCAGGGCCTGCTGGCTTCACCACTGCCGGCAAAGGGCAGCCTTGCCCCCGCTGAGCGAATGTCCTTATGTTTTCAGAGAGTATTCAGATCAGCAGAGTAGCCTCACCTGCACCGAACACTCTTGGTAAGTCCCACAGACTCTTGGTATTTCAAGTTTCAATGTCATTACGTGACAGTCGCTCTTCCGTACAGTCCTATCAGTAAACTCTCGGTAGCACAACAGTTTGCAGACAGCACCCTGACATGGCCTCCCCAGTGCAAACAAACTCATCCTTAGATCAAAACAACTTCACTTCAGTTATAAACACGTGGATCCGAAATCGTAACAAAGCAACCCACGACACTGACCTAATGGTTTAGAGGTGTTTTAGGCCAGGGCTGCTCCATGAGTATTTGCCTGTAGAAACAGGGAAGAAGCATTGCCTTTACCTTATTGCAGGCTGGAAACCGACAGCTTGCACAGATGGGTGNGCCCTGAAGAAGGCTAGAAACAGGGAAGAAGCATTGCCTTTACCTTATTGCAGGCTGGAAACCGACAGCTTGCACAGATGGGTGTGCACACGCCATACTTGGAGAAGCACCACGTGGTCTTGACTAATGAGAGGTGCACACCCACCCCCCACTTCGTCACTCTCCATCCCTTGACTCCGCTTCGTTTTTCTTCTGGTCACAAATCACTTGGTTATGTCTGTCTCTGCCTCTGCCATCTAGGTCCAATGAGGGCAGGCGTTCTCGCTGCCTTACAGCTGTGTGGGCTTAGAACAGTGCTCGGTGTGAACTTGGTGCTGAATACAGGTTTGAATACATGACTGAGTGAATGAACTGCCGTCCCTCAGGAAAGCCAGTATATGTACTTTGCAATTGCAAAGCCCTGGGTTCAAATGGTCGTTCCCCACACGTGGCACTTTAAGATTCTGAGTTCCTGCAGGTCTCAGGAGGCTGCATGCTCAGTGTCACTGCTGGAGGTGGTTCCAGGAGGGGACAGATCCACCCAGCTTTGCCACTCTCTTGCTAAATGACACTGGACAGCTGGCTTCCTCTCTCTGGGCTCTAGTTTCTAACCAGAGTGCAGCTCACTGTTTTCTGCTCGGGCTTCCATGTCAGAGTTTGTCTAAGTAAAGGGTTCCAGGCTGACAGAAGTTTGAGAACCCTGTAGTACCAAGTTCTGTGAGCCTCCTCTGGCTCTGATGTTGAAAGATGCTGGGGCACAGAATGCTGAGTTCGCTCCTTTTGCTCCCAGGGAGATGATCATCTGGCGGAGGGTGTAAAACCTTAGTAAGCTGGCGGTTTGTGCTGACAGCAAGGCTGACTCAGACACCCCTTGATGTCAGGGCTATTTCAGGTGCTAATGCTGCTGGCAAAGCTGGAGAGGACAGGGTTTTATTCCAACCCCTCCCCCTGGCAGATGAGGAGACTGAGTCTCAGAGGGGGTGGGGGGCAGGCCCGAGGTCACACAAGCAGTGGGAACAAAGCTGGGACCAGAACCCCGGCTGCACAGAGAGCCGCCGGCTCCCTGGAGCCATGCTGTCTGCTGTTTACAGCAAGGACACAAAGCACAGCGACCAAATGTGGGTTATCGTTGCTCCCACAGCGCCAAATGGTTGTTGACCCAGGGCCAAAGACTGAGCTCAGTCGCTCTCTCGGGGGGCGGGCCCACTCAAGGCACCCGCTGTCCCCACAGAATCTCACTGAAGAGCTGGGACCGCATTCCAACCCTGGGTGCTGACAGCTGGGGGGCTGGGACCCCTCGTGGCCAGAAGTGGTAACGCAGAGCTCCCGACTGAGTTGCCCAGAGCGGCTGCTAGGACCCTGGAAGTGGCTGTTTCAAAAAGAAAGAAAGAAAGAAAAGATGCCTGTGACCTTGAGCTGAGGCAGGGAGTTAAACCTCAGCCTCATTAGACAGTCCCGGGCACAGCCAAATCAAGTGAGGGTGGGCGGCGAGCTGGGATCCCATTTACCCGTCTCCGAAGCGGGCTGGCAACTCTCACTTTGTCCCCAGACCCTTGCCACACTCAGACGTCAGCAAGAATCACTTTAGACACCCAGGGTGGAGTTCTGTGGGGAGCTCAGAGCCATCACCGCCTGACTGTTCCCGTAGCGGGCCGGTCCAGGAGGGGAAACCCGGGCTAGGAAAAGGGAGATGCTGGCCACTGCAGCAGATGCTGGAAATGAAAAAATGTCAAAATCCACCGCTTGGTCCAAAACCTTGATCCAGAAGATTTCAGCCCTGCAGGCAAAATGCAGAAAATCCTCACTCAGGTCCCACCTTTACTACGAAGCGGGCCCCTTCCACGGGCACAGGTGATCCTTTGCATTATGTTGAGAATTCGGTGGCGATGCCCCCGCTTTTCAAGACCAACAAAAGAAACCGGAATTTAACATTTTCATAACGACTAACATGAGACCTCAGGGCCTTTTTGCTACAGGAACAATGAATGTTTGCCGAAACGTGTTTAGATTTATGACTATTGCCACTGTCAACCTTTCTCCTTGTGAATTTTTAATGTATTGATAGTCTTAGAGCTTACTTTTACCTGTGAGGATTTAGATAAATCAGTTTCCATCTTGTCAAGTGCCCTGTGCTTTCAGCGGCTCCCACTGGAATCCTGATAGGACACTTTCACCGTGTGGCACTTCTCAGTCCGGAGATCGTCTTAGCTTTTCAACAAAAATTAAGAGCTGAGAACGGACAGTGTCTTTGCAACAGCAAATTTCCATCTACACTGTAGCCTTGGTCTTAAAAATAGTTGATCAATTGAGTTTTTATAAAACTAAACATTCTTGAAATGTACCAAGCGGGGCCTGCGCTTTCTAAGAGCCCACAGGGAGTCCTTTTGTACAGTGAAGGGGGCCTGTCTCTAGGAATAGCCGCTCCTAGCTTTCCCTTGGTCCGTCTGTCTTTCCCGTACAGCGGGCTCTCTTAAGCCAGGCAGGCCCCCCTAGAGCTTTCCCGGCATCTCCAAACAGCCTCCTCTAGGACGTACACAGAAATCTCATCAAACGGCCGGGAAGGCGACACTCCCGCATGCCCGTCACGTTACCAGTAATGAGATTTCTCCTGGGCTGCGAAGACCAAAGGAGCTCAAGTTTGAGAAGCAAAAGAGCCGGATTTGCTCCCTCCTGGCGGGGGGTCGTGTGTGCAGCGAGCGATAAGTGGCAAACCCAGGAGGAAATTATCTCCTGGCTGCCGGTCCAGGAAACAGGCCTTGAAGAAAATGTGAATCGCATCTAACAAACAAGACCCATTCCAACCCCCCCCCCCCC